AACTGGCGCGATCTCACCATGGCGGATCGATAATGTGCCTCCTGTTAACTTTGCTAACCGATTATCAACATAAGCATGGTTCGGTTGACCCAATTTTGCAACATTGTGGCCTCAACGGGATTCGAAACCACATCAGCAGGGAAGTCTTCAATACAGCCAACGCTCTACCAATTGAACTACAAAGGCACGCCGAAAGTCGTGAATTAAATCACACTTGGGTCGATTTACCCGCCTAGCCTACTGAATATGTGGAACCAACCAGTGAGGGTAGAGTAAGCTGACTGTCCGGGCAGTCGAATCTGCCAAACCCTTGGTTGATGAGGTATGTGGCAAACGGGCAATCTAAGTGTCAGAAAATAACTGCGATCTTGCCGGTATATCAAGTGGTTGCAGAGGCGGTGAATAGGTCCTTCGTAACTCAGGAGGAATTTTAGCAGACTGCTCGTTAGAACCCAGCTAGCGGAGGCAATCGTGGACGTGGCGTGGGTATGGACCAATCACAAATGCCGACCCCCTTCCACCCCCATTTACGTGTAGCCAACATTTGTTGCTTTCTCATTTTCTCTGACGATGGCTTCTCCTGTGAAGTCGAAAACTCTGGAAAATAAAATCGCTGTTCCAGAGATTGCGTTTTCTTCTTCTTTACAACCATGATTATAAGCAAAAGAGCATTGTTGACGAAGACAAGCGAACACTGGAATGGCCATTTCTGGCTCATTAACCGCCAGCAGCATGTCATACACAACCCCGAGTGGTGCACTACCCTAGGTCTGAGTAGATTACTCACAGGGCCTCTCCTGAACTTTGCAGCTTATTATGCGTCTAAATTGACTGGATGAGCATATTTTCTCCTATGCTTCCCACAATATGCTTTATGATTATGCCAGCTATCTTTAGAAAAAGTTATGAAAACGAACGTCAGAGTCTTGTGGGCATCAATTGCTTCAAGACTCTGTACCTGCAGACGTTTTTTTCGGTGGAAAATTTGTGAAAGTGTGGAAATAAGTATTTCATTCGCTTGGAGGTATAGTGACTTTCGCTTCTTGAGTTAAACTTCAAGGGTTTTGGTGTACGAAGACAAGTTAAAGTTGTCTGCTAGGCCATTCAGAGGGTATTTTCATCTACTTTTAGTTAATTCTGACATTCGATGACTACGATCAGAGCCTGACTGTTCACGTGGCTAGAGCCCGCGGTCTGCATCCAATGGATCTCAACGGACTGGCGGATCCTTTCGTTAAGCTGCGTCTCCACCCTGATCCCACTGAAGAGTGAGTTGATTTCCTTTCCACAAATATTATATTAGTAAAGGACCTTTTCTTTGTAATTGTTTTACTCAGTCCTGGAGTTAATTAGCCCGCTCGCCTACAATCATGATACCACTTAGTGTACAATAGCTGGTTCAAAATTCTGGAATGTTTTTTCAAGTAGAAAAGTAGAGGTTCTACTATTGATTGTCTTGCAGTATTATCCCAAAACATCAGCCAAAATATGATACTAGCTTTTGGGCAGGCTTATTTATGGCCATATGCAAAAAAACTATATTTGACGAAGAAGACTCCTAAAATAATCTGCACTTTCCAGATGATATCAAATGCCCTTATAAATTCAAGTATTTTTGTTTAATAAAAATATGCTTCCTTGTACCATTTTTGTAGCAAATTAAGTATCATCTGAAGTTTAGAAAACGAAATTTTTTGCCCCTTTTATTAAAACGCAAACCCGAGGGTCGTATAAAACGGAAATAGGGGGGTTTAAAGGTGGACCTTACCATAGACAAGCCGCGAAATATATATAAAAGCCTAAAATATAGGTAAATTGAGGTGGCATTTATTCTTATAGGCCTTTATATAGTAGGGAGAATGAAAGTGAAATTTAAAAAGTAAGCACCACACAAATCTCGCTAAATACAAGGAATTTGAGTAAAAAAAACGAGGTGGGCATGTCATTCTACGAATACAGTAGCCTAGTTACCCAATTGTGAAAAAATTCGCGGCGTCAACGGGAGGTGAACCCGCGCAGTAGGGAAGGTCTTTACGCGAAGCAAACGCTCTACTGATTTGACTCACCACGCCACGCCACGCCTGCGCCGTGAATTTAATCACACTCGGATCGATTTTACCCGCCCATTAACACACAGAGGATTTACTTCCCATAGATTTGAAATAATAAACTAAAGCAGGCCAGGCTATGTATAATAAACCCAAGGGGCTTACATAACCTATCATTGTCGAAGCTGATATTCAAGAAATTGCATCTCTCGATTTTGAGATTGTTTTAATTACTTAATACTGTTGAACGCAAACAGTTGGTGAACTTGTGCTACAGCTTTCATTAATTCATTTCACATACTTTCGTCTAGGAATAGTCGTGTATTGGCCTACGTTATTGCGATTATCGGGAGGACTCATTACCTTTTGAAGCGCTTTGTATGCATCCAAAGCAGCAGCAATAAACGGACAGCTACGATGCTATGTAAATGGAACTTTTACGAGCTTGAAGCTGTCATATAATCGTTCACTAAGCTAAATTTAAATTCTTTCGTCATTTAAAAATATTTCGGCCATATGTGTACAGGTGTGAATAGTTTTACCCTTTAATAATTTAAAATATACTTGAGTCTATAAAGGTTTGAAAAACAAATTGAAGAAATGTAAACTTGCAGAGATAGTGCTGAAAATTCGATTCCCAGGTGGTAGATCAGAAGAAAGAGGAGCGT